CTCCACATCTTCTCGAGCTCTTCTCTGAGCCCTTGGTACTCCTCCAGCTTTTCGTGTTTCTTCTTCCTGCTGTTGCTTTTGATTCTTACTGCTGAGATATCTTTGAAGCATTGAAAGGTTACTCACTGTTTATCATTATTCAGAGTCTGGCCTTCTGTGAAGGAAGATTTGAAGTTGAACATCACACACACACACTCTCACTATTATGCAATATAAAAAGTGACATACACTTCTAATTTCAATAGCAAGGCACACTTACAGAAAACAGTAAAGTGTGAAATTACTGCCTACGTTAGTAAACAGTGGTGCCAACTGGTGGATGAATATAAAAATGAAATAGTTAAAGTGAGTAGTCCATCCATCTATCCAATTTCCTCTGCTTATCCTGGGCTGGGTCCGCATCGCTCCAGCTGCAGCACCACTGCGTCTGTTGATCCCCTGCTCCCATCACTCGTGAACAAGACCCTGAGATACTTAAACTCTTCTACTTGGGGCAGCAACTCGTCCCTGACCCGGAGTGGGCATCTGGGAAAAGCCACACAAGATCTGAGACCACCCAAGTGGAACATTTTGCTTCTTCCATTCAAATTATGAACCGGTCCCCCTATAGTTGGAGCACACCCTTCGGTCTCCCTCCCTGCCAATGGGAACTGTCTCCTCAGGTACCGCCCCGTATCTCCACACAATGTTGGAGAGGTGTGTTAACCAAGACAGCTCTACAACATCCAGAACCTTCAAGAACCTCAGTGAACCTCATCCACCCGAGGGGCTCTGCCACTAAGCATTTGTTTAACTGCCTCAGTGACCTCACCCGTCCTGAAGGATGAGTCGCCCCCTCGTCCCCAGACTCTGCTTCCTCTATGGAGCATGTGTCCGTGGGATTAAGGAGGTTCTTTGAAGTATTCCTTAGTGTTCCTAAAGTAAGTAGTCCAAAATAAAATCTTAACATACAGGATAAGTTGATGTTAAGATGAATGTGGGATTCTTGTACGTTCTTGTTACCATTTCCAGGCTGAAGAACAACCTTTGAATGTGCTACATCTGTGCCGCTCGTAATGCCGTCCTCTTTGGCTAACACTTTAGCTTCTTGCAGCTCTTCTTCAAACGCTGGCAGTTTTCAGAGCAGGGCTCAACTTTCATCTGCAGAATTATGCGACAAATACTTTTAATTTATGAAAGCTCAAGCAGCTATCAGCTTAGATTTAACTTTAGGATGAAAAATGTCAATATCACAAACAACTGTATTATACAATGAATGTCATGCAAACAAGATCACATGGAGACATTTCACCTCTTTTAATGTTCATATTTTTTTCCATTAAGCCATGGCTATCAACTATGAAGCATTTTGTCAGGTGGATTTCACTTTGTCTTACTCTGTCTGGTCCTTTCCACATTACAGCAACATGTGTTCAGGACACTGGAGAACGACCCTCTGTTTGCCCGTCAGCCTGGTGAAGATGTCCCCATAGAGAAAAAGAGAGAGCTGAACTTTCTGAGGTATCTACCTGGTAAACTACAGCTGAAGTTATGTAGCACCTGTCGTGTCCTCTGTTCTGTAAGTCGGTACTTTCTAAAGACAGTAAAACTCCATATGAAAATTCACAGAATGAAGCAGCTGCTTCGGTACAACTTTGTCACCAAGGAAGAGGCGATGGCCAATCCCTGGAAAGCGATGTACCTCGACGACTGTCTGGGCATGTATGACTGGGCCTTGGTTGCTAAGCTCTTCCTCAGCCTGGGGGTAATTGTGTTTGAGTAAAATGTCCTCACACAGACACACAGAGTGTATGTTATATGAGATAACTAAGATTGTGTTTCTGAGCAATGTTAAGAAGGTTTATGAC